GTAAGTTTTTTTCAGCACCTCCCTTTCAGTTTGGAAAGTACTTAGGAAGTACATTCGTTTTCCATGGCAAAATATTGATTGAACCATTGTCGTTTTCCATGTGAAAGTATGAAGTGTTGAAAAGTTTCCAGCTTACTATCTGAGCAAGAATCTGCTAAGAAACTGGTCTAAGAGTTTTTTCTTTCCGAGAATGTGAAACTGGTCTAAGAGTACGAAGAAGTAGTTGTGTTGTGACTCAGAAAGAAAAGAAGTGATTAATAGGGTCAAGGTCATCACTGAACTATGTTCCATCTTACCTGGTCAAAACTACACACCTTGGACATGTTTTTTCTCTTCACATGTTGTGCTTGACTGCTTGTAGAAAATGAACACTCGAATGTGGTCTGGTTGCTTTTCATAAATTGTACCATGTGATATTTTGAGACTGGAACTTGCATATTAGTGACAAAAAACTTCTAGAGGGATTGGAGAAAAAAAATCATTCATCTATAGGTATTTGCGGTGCTATGTCACATGTAAATTTGAGATACCGAAGAAATTTTGCTATCAAAGCAAAGCTGAAATAGCAGCCTAGGAATCCTAAGTTACCAGTTAATGCGTCACTGACTGAGAAATGACCAAAAGACTTCGCTTTCTCACAGTCATGACAGCACTAGTGTATTTACTTAGATAAACTATTAGTTTATATCTTTGGGTGCAATATAATTTTCTGATCAAGTTTTAGTGAAAATTTTAGGGGATAAGAGTTCAAGTCAGGAGCGTCTATATTGAAAGCCGGAGCCAGCCTTTGAAAGGCCAATTCTTTTTTGCTTATAGAATTAGAATCACAAATAATTCTCAGCGCCCTGTTCAGCTTCTCAGAAGACACTGGATTGTTACAGATGGAAATGGAAGGACCGAAAATATTTGGTTAGTGTTTATTGTAATGATACTCTAATTTGATTATCATAAAGGATGTGCTAATATGATTGACATCATTGTTGTGTTAGGGGAGCTGGAGTAGTGGGAGAACAACCTGTCATTTTCCCAAAGACTGGTTTTGAGTACTCTTCTGCGTGCCCATTGAGCACTCCAAATGGGAGAATGGTAACTCTACAGAAGTTTCTGCAAAAAAGTTTCAACAACAGTTTGCTGTTATGTTTAGCATTGCCTTTTTCTGTACCCAGAAAATAGGAGTAAGTAATTTGAACCCATTTTGGATTGTAGGAAGGTGACTTCGAGATGAAGCACATCGACAAGGCTGGATCATCAACATTCAATGTTGCAATCGCGCCATTCTCTCTGTCAATTCTTGGCGATGACAATGTTCTGCTCTAAACCACACTGAGATTTAAACTAGACACACAAACACAAATAGTTACTGTTAGCGATGTAGTTGAGTGTGCAAGGTTCAGGTGAAACTACTAGGGTTGACAGACGGCTCGAGCCAAGTGCCCTGGTGCAAGGTCAGGCACAGTTTGCTGGAATGTTGAATCTGGACCATGCGAGTGTCAATTATGAGGCACAATAGGACATCCTATCAATTGTACAACGTGGAACTATAGAACTTGCTATCATGTACTTCCAAATGATAAGACGTTTTGGGTTTTCTAGATATATAGTAAAAACAATGTATTTAGAAAAAATCAAAAGTCCTATAATTTGGAATAGTGGGAGTAATATACAGTACCTTTTTACTTTTCCCCGTCACCTTAAGTGATCATGGCCTTTTATTACACTGTATATCAGCTCAGCAATGTATGGTGTTTTTTTTCTAGTCTAGCAATGTATGATGTTGATATGGTGGTTGCTGCTTCAGCTGGGCACTGTCACGCTGCATTGTTTTTTTGAAGTGGGCCTGGCCTGCGAGTACTACTTTCATGGGCCTAATATAGATTACTGGGCTGGACTTTGGTGTGTGCACCTGGCCTGTCCATCGCTGCTTGCTTTGTCGATTAAACGGATATATGTCACCTGGCCTGTCCATGACGTGCTGGGCTGGCGTTCAGACGAAGTCCATAGGCTCACTTCCTTCGGAAACTGTGGCCATGGATCGCGCTTCAGCTTGAGCCCGTGACACCGGCCTGGCCCAGCCACAGTGTCGGACGAGATAGGGCAAAGGAGAGAATGGAAGCACTACTCAATACAAGTCCTTTTGTAACCTATTCACTCGGATTCTATACATTCAAATCTTGTCGTAACAAGCACAATGGTACAAACGAATTTGATAGAATCTGTATGTTAGAGAAACAATAATTTCAAAGTAAGTCACCCATTTGTAATGTTTAGATCATCTTATGTTGTAGGAAACAAATATATGAATTTTCAAACACAGAAACACACACCGGAGGAAAACAATGAGTTGGTGCATGCTATTGCTGGAAATCGACGACCCTGTTGGTGGTTGCGCGCTCACCCCACTTCCTTTTATTCGGGTATTTCCGAGAATACCCAACAAATTTGTATATATGTTTGCATTGCATTTTCACCATTTTCTTGCTATTCACATATCAAAAAGTGTAGCTTATTGGCCTAATCTCAACACACTACACCAATACTTCCTTAAGCCCATATAAATTGTCATTCGTCAATCGATCAACTAGGATCTTCCTCCATCCTTCAACCACACATGGGTGCATGCATAGGCATCGTATGTATCTATAGCCTCTAATCACCTATACACCTATCCTCAACTATCATTCAAATCTTAATTCTCACTTGAACCTAAGGCTGGCTTGTATACGGACACAGACATAATGGCGCGGCATGATGTGCAGCCGGTGATACAGACGGCTTTAATTTAGGAATTCCCAACTTTAAAATTTTGAATCCGCCACTGCCATTCACTGCCCATTGAAGGATTTCCTTTTGTTGCTAGGCCGTGAGTAGTGATATTGTGATACTCTCATTTCTTTGTTCATTTTGCTAGCTGTTGCTCTTTTATTTTTCTGTTTCCTTTATAATATCGTAGAAGTATGAGGTCTTATACTGGTATATGTTTATATTTTTTATTTTGCTGCCTGATGTAATTGTTAGTCATCAATCTAAGGTATGTGTGAAGATCGCTCTACACTGAGAGCATGATTAATAATACAACCCAAGGTAGGATGCACATATATTTATGGCTCATCTATTAGTCTATCCATATAGTAGTTGGCTAATAGGACATACTTCACCATTAATACATTGGTCACTTTCTTAAGGCTCATGCATCAATTGGATGAAAGCCCACTTTTTTTCTCTTATCTCCATACAAAACTCAATTGCAACCTTTTATTATATTATATTATACTTGCCGCTTCTATTATATATTATACTATATTATATTGTATCATATTTTATTGTATTATATCATATTATATTATATTACACTTTGCTCTGATAGAAGGCTTGTATTAAATTGGTACACCCTCGTCCAAAAATAATTGCAACTCTAAAATTTTACAAAGACATCATCATCCTTTAATTAAATCTCTTAATAAACCTTGGCATGAAAAAAAATCAGACAATTAAATACACACGCATCATAGAAAATATATAGATCAAGCAATTAAATTTGAATGCATCCTAGAAAGGGAGAAAAGGCAAATAATCAACCACCTACCTGCTCCAAAAGTTACAAGTGCATCCATTGTGGGATAAATTTGAAGCAACTACATTTGCCAACCTACCCTATTACATCAATCCAACAATCCTCTTATCATCCCCGTTCGATTGTGGTTGGGGTGTAAATCAAAATAGAAAAAAACTCACATTGAATTTAGGGATAATCAGGCTTGAACTGATGACTTTCATCATGTCAAGGTGACACTCTACCACTGAGTTTTATCTCTTCAGAAAGAGAATTAATAAATCATAAGGCAAAGGGATGAGAACTCAAGGCCAGGCCACTCTTCCTCTGGACTTTGTTTTCGCATAATATGGAATTTCTAGACAAACGTTACTAATGACGTGTCTAAACAACGGATTGCAACAGTTTTGGTAGCCTATCACACTGAATCCCCATTTTAACTTTTCCAGTCAAATTCTGTAAAAAAAAACTTTTCCAAATTTGTTCTCCCTTACTTAGAATTTATTCTAGGCATAAAAACATACGTTCTAGGTAGTATAAAGTTCTAGAAATAAAAAAAATGCTTATCACTAGTTTATATTATTTTATTATATCTCATCCTATATTTTTTAATGTGTCCTGCGTGCTTTGTGCCTCACTCCGCTATTTGTACGGATGGCTATTTGTAAGGATGGTAGCGGGTCGGATAAAGGGCAGGTAAAGTAAATATACGTCCGCGACAAATTGTCTAAGTGATAAAATGTTATACCTCTCCATCGTGGCTGTACGGTGACAATTTGTCGCATACGTGCCATCGGTATGGTACCCATAGATTTAGATTGCTATTATAATAAATAAAATCCTACTCCCTCCGTCCAACAAATAAGTGTAGTATATGTAATAACATATGGTCATGAACACAACCTTTCGTTAAGCTAGTTACTAAATCACTGCTAAATCTGAAAGATCCCTTTCTGAGTTCCTCCCTCGTGAAACGTCTTGCATGGCCGGCGTGGTTTACTGCCGCTGGCGATCACCACATCTCCGGCCCGCCCCACCGATCGTCACGAGCGGCGCACGCTACCCTCCTCGCCGCTGCACTGCTTAGGACCTACGCGACGCGCAGTCCCCGGCCACCGGTAACGGAAGCCAGCCAGCCAGCCAGCCAGCCAGGGCGGGGCGGGCGGTGCGCTACGGACAAGCAGTACGCAGGCACCCGTCCGGCCGCGCGGCATGCACGCAACGGCAGCATCCGCAGTGGCGTCACCGCGTCTGCAGCCTCGACCACCGAGGGCATTAGGCCGGTGTGCTGTGGTGTGCTCCCCGCTTTCCCACATTGCCTCGATCCCACTCTCGCTATCCCCTGGCCGCAGCAGCAGTTTCCGAACGAACCCTGTGCTGTGCGCGGCGCGTCGGGGCCGAGAGAGAGAGAGAGAGAGAGAGAGGTATCTAGACGACGTACGGCGTCGCCATGGGCGGGCGTGGAGCTCCGGAGGCGACAAGGAGGCTGGTGGTGGCTGTGGTGGGCGTCGTGGTCGCTGTGGCGGCGGTGCTTTGCCCCACCGCGGCTGGGAAATTAGGCAAACAAGGTACGTGCTGTGCTGGTGCTGCTGTGTTTGTTTTCCTCCGTCCGACCGGCCGCCGGCGTGGCCGTCAAAGCAAAATCAGATCGATCTTGTGCTCAATCAACGCGCTCTTCTTGGTTCTTTGCTGCCGCGTTGCGTTCCCTTCCATCCATCAACGTCGTGGTCTTGTGTGTGGTTTGCAGCCAAGGCGCTGGTGGCCATCAAGGCGCCGCTGCATGATCCCGGCAACGTGCTCTGGGACTGGGACCTCAAGTTCGGCAACGACCCGTGCCACTGGAGCATGGTCACCTGCCAAAAGGGACAAATTCAAGAGCTGTATGTTCTCCTCATCCTGTGCATATATGGACGTTTGTTTCTGTTCTGCCACGATTTTCACGTCCGGCTCATGGTTCTCTGCGTTTGTATGCTGTTCGCAGGTCTATGACGAACAAGAACCTCTCTGGCACACTGTCGCCGGCGGTCGGAAAACTCAGGTCGCTGCGATATCTGTAAGTCAAAAAGATCCAGAATTTCTATGTTAGCCCTGTCCGGAACATATGTAGTAGGAGTGAATTTTTAGGGAACTCTGAGGAGCCTCTCAGTTCTAGTCAGATTCCCTTGAAATTCCCAGGCTGTACTAATTTTTTAACACATTCAGTTCGTTGCATGCAGCCATGCACTTCCTACTTGCTGTTGTGAGCTGTGACTTGTGAGGAAATGAGGAGTTTGTTTTCAAATTTTTGGCAGGTTGTTAAGCCACAATGCTATCTCTGGCCGTATCCCTGACACCGTAGGCAGGATGACGCTGCTTGAAGTACTTGACCTGTCAAACAATCATTTCAGTGGAAGCATCCCAAGTACACTGGGTCATCTGGCCAAACTGCAGTACCTGTAAGACTAATAAATCTTCCTGATGCCAACATTATATCCAGACATATCTGTATCTCAGTTCTGTAGATTATCTTTAAATCTGAAGATTGATCGAGTCACATGATCTTTATTTTATCGGCCTCTTGTCTCTTTCCTCCAGGAAATTGAACAATAACAGCTTATCTGGACCTATACCCGAATCACTAGGCACTGATGCTCCCATGATCTTCAGCCTGTACTTTCTATTGACAACCTTCTTTTTATCATTGCTGCATTGTTCTTTGAATGAATATGTCCAGTTCTCACTGTGAGTGTGAGCTTTACCTATTCCTCATTTCTAAGAAACAAAAGTTATTTATGTTCTACAGGGATGTTTCCTTCAACAACCTGAGTGGTCACCGGCCGACTTTTCGAACATGGAATGTCTTGTAAGTGATCTCAGGTTCATATTTTCGTTCCCTGTATCAACTGGGGCAACATGAGCTTTGGGGTAAAGTTATTTATATATGGTTTTCCTCCTTTCTGATTTCCTTAATCTATTATGCCTGAATAGTTTCGAAGGCAATCCATTCCTAAGTGATATCGGCTCAGAGTCAATTGCTCCCCCCTTAGGCCCAAAGGATGGCAAAGAAGGTTGTTCAGTGTCCAATTCTGGACACTTCCAATTTCATTTTAGTAAAGTTAACTAATTCAAGTGAGCATATTTTTCTTGTGAGTATGTGTGCTCACCACAATATTTTTTTTCCTCCAGGGGATTTACAAGTCATGAGTAAAGACATTTTTATCCTCCTACTATGCATAGGAATTGGTTGTTCACTGGTTGCCGTTGTGGCTGGAGCTGTCCTGTTTTGGCGAAGGCGTCAGCGTGAGCGAGTCTTTGCAGTTGCTGATGGTAATATTTTTTTCTTCAAATGCTATATACGTGTTTAGATCTGTTGAACTTTGGGAACATTAATCTGAAAAAGGGGTTGACAGATTCATGTCTCACATTGCAGATGAGGATCCTAGTGTTACATACGCTGGGATCATCCAGCTCTATCTTCTTATTAACATGTTTGCCATTGCATAAGAAATTTTTTAGAAATAAAAACGTTTCATTGTTGTATGGACTGTTTATACATAGACAAATTTCATAATACTCCCACTCAGTAGATATGGGAAATTATATTGGAGTCCATATATATTCTGGATCTTTTTGCTGTTTTCCTTTATTGTTTTATGGCTTATTTTCCAAAAGATTGTATCAACACCCCTCGGTCCCATCGATGATCACGCCCCTTGGGTCCAAGAGGTTCTAGCTAAGTCAATTGATGGCCCATCCATAAGATGTGGGAGCGTAAACTCACTTGGCATTTGAAACCACTAATCCATGGCGATATATTTCCGAGATAATTAAAATTTGCTACCCATTTATTTTGACTACTATTTGTTTACTTAATCATCGTTCTTGATTGTACAGAAAGAAAGGCAAGAAATGATTGTGTCAATCCAAAATTCATAATCGAATAGCCCACTAAATAACATAACTTGATGATGGAGTTTCAAGGTTTGTTCTATGGCACCGCCTTGTAGGGCTATGGTGTTCATCGCTTGGATTAGGGAGGATTGGTCCTAGGATGGTGATATTAATGGTGCAACAACGAGTGTCAATGGTAGCAATGACCCCCCCCCTAGGGAAGATGCATCACCAAGGGATGGTGTGTTGGATGTCATATGCCTTTACAAAAATATGGCTCAACAAAGGATGCCAAGAGGAACAGAGCTAAGTGGGAGGCATGGCCATTAACCACATCTGAATGTCCCATTCCATAGATTGAAGAGTGAGAAGTTACGTTGGTTGGGGTTTTCGGAGAAGGCATGTATATTGCTTCTATTGGAGCCACTAGGGACCTTGCCTTTTGGTTTGCCCCAAGATCCAACTCTTGATCCACTAGAGTTAGATCCAATAAAGGAGGGGGGCTTGGGGATGTTTATTTCAAATGACCTGAGCAACGACTGTGATGGGTTAGAGATTTTAGGCCGTCTTCTTCCAAGAGAAGCAATGATCATGCCTTAAGGAAAGATGGTGGTGGCATATTCATATTGATTATGGATGCCATTGAGTGCCTATTCTCATTTAGGTCATCAAGGAGAATGATGATAGGGTGGCACTTCAATTTTGTACCGTATTTCACAAGGATAAAGTTGGTGATGGTACAACTAATGTATAGGTGAGTTCAGTGGCTCTTGACTCCTTGTGAATAGCTAAGCATGTCCACCTTGGGCCATGTTTTTGAAACTTAATGTCCAGAGAGCAAGGCATGTGAGTCTTATTATTCTAGAATACATTCTTCTTATTCTACAATGAGGGCAGCTGCCTAAGGGCACGAAAGGTTTTGGACTTCCTTTAGATATCGGCTGGGGATCAGAAGCTCACCTGGCAAATCGGTGATAGCCTGACCTTCCTACACCTGTTTGGATGGACGTTATGCTTGTTGTCCTCTGCCATATTTGGAAGTCCCAGAACACACTCATCGTTAACTCAGAGTATGTCACTCGGCCTACATCCAGTGCAAAGTATCTAAAGATGTCTGCTCCAAGACTGGTAGATTCAAGAGTAACAAAGTGTTCATTTTACCTGCTAGCTTATGCCTAGAACCATCTCTCAAAATTGTAATCTCTACCTTTTCTTCTCCCCTCTCCCTGCTCCTCTCTCTCGGTATGCCGGGCAACATCTTGTAAATGTACAACCAATTTCATTGGCTCAATAAAAAGTAGGTGGGAATCTCCCCCCAGAATTGATTGAAAAAACCTTGATCACGTGTGTTGTGACATCAAGGGTGATGAAGGTAGCAAAGTGTGCTATGAAGATGGATCCATAGAGCACTCAAGTGCACCGAATAAATTGGGTGCCACCTAGGTCATGTAGGATGGTTGGCGCGACTGGTGGAGATGTGCCCTCAATGTGCTACATATCAATCAAATTTTGATTGGAATCTTCAAGAGCTCATGCCATCATGAGTAACTAGAGCTGTGTTTAGTGTGGCTCCGTGCGATATGCTTTGTTGAAGGAGTCAGAGCCCTATAGGCGGAGCCAATTTTTGGCACTCTAGCTCCGACACCAAAATAGCTCCGACTCCTCACATGGGAGGGTAGAAAGCGCTCCTCCACACAATCTCGTTTGGTTCTACTTTGCCCACTCCAATGTGGGAGCCACATTTGACGATCCCTAGGAGGATATTGGGTAAAGGTGATAGGAATGTGCTAACACACATTGGTAGTGAAGGTATGGAAGTTGGATTTGGAGGAGCCATAGGTTGGAGGACAACGACGATGTAGTGGCAAGGGTTGTGGTGGGTTAGCCAATGCAAGGAGGAGGGACACAAGAGGTGGAAACATAGAACTAGTGGTTTGGCTTGATACCATGAAAGAATATAGGTTTATGATAATAATAAAGACATTCTAATGGATAACAATTACACATTGTGGTACTAGATGACATGGGTTTGGAGTACATAAAACTACAACGGACTTGCTATACATGGAAGGTTACATTTCCACAGATCAATAGTCGCTTATTGCCAAGTGGGTCATATGAGGAATAGTAGCATAAGCTTGTTGCCTTATTTCATGGACTATGAACAAGGGTAAGGAGTCAAATCATGATCACATCAGTGTGTCTTTAAAAATACGGGGTCATAAAAAACTCAACCTATGGGTGTGGCATTGCGTTAAGAAGAAGCTTCTCGCACGAACGTTGAGAAAAACCCTAGAGGCCAGCTGCTGGACATGTCACCGAATGCCTAGGACACATGCTTGTGGCCATGTGCATCTCGATAAAAGCAACTATAGTGGTTACACATCTATCTAAAGGTCACAACCAACGTTGAGTGTTTTTAACCCTAGACATGTTTCAATTCGCTCCCACAGTGAGTCGAACCCAAGACCCGAGGTGCTACACCAAGGATCTTGTGAGCATTAGGCTATAGAACCATTCACAATACAAGGAGGTCATGCTTGTTTTTGATGTTGAGAATACTAGGTGGGCCCAAACTAGCATGGCTACTAGCTTGTTGGCATAGCAGAAGATATATACAAAATGTTGAGGATCCTCTTCTTGTTTTATATAAAGAACCTTTCTCCTTCACCAAACTCTAGATGTGGTACCTCAATCTTTGTTCAAGGAGTTATATTTTTGGAACACAACTTAGCCAAATTTCAATATATGATTGTAACTACGAAGATTATTAACTACCAATTAAAGTTGACCAAGAAGTTTGGTATCTCTACCCCATGAGAAGATGAGTTTGGTTCATGGATTTAGGATTACAAAATCAACAAAGGTGAGTGGTAGACTCATATGAAACATGCCTATTATGGGTGAAACTACGGTGTGTGGTGCGAACTAGACTCCTTTGCAGTATGTCTATCCCTAGACCTGTTTTAATTCATTATAATATTTTAGATTAGCTTTTAAGAATTTCTTTGAGTCTCAAACTTAAAAATGTAGTACTTTCTTTGCAATGCAGTTCCAAACAGAAAAATTTGGATTCTTTACTTCAATGAGTTGTACTTGAGTTAGCTTAACATGGAATTGCCAAAAGCAAAAAAGGGAAAGTAGATAATGTAACTCTTATGTGATCTGATTTAAGAGAATGTGTTTGAGAGAAAAAAAACCTATGTATCACTAAAATATGAGTGAGCTTCTTGGGCTATGGCCTTGCTTGCTTATATATGCGTGCACCGAGACTAGGCTCCTTACCCACAAGTCAACATTAGCAAACTTTGGGCCAAGATGAGGGCTGATATGGGTCTTTGTGGTCGTACAAAGACCTAGTCTCAAGATTGGAATTCATGAAACATATGAACAACTTGTCAATTTGGCTATAAAGTACGAACTATATCTATTCAGACAAATTATTGTTGTATATGATCCTTTTAAGGAAGATACTATATCACCTAACTTTTATAACACAAGAACTTCAATGTTATTTTATGATCTTTTACCAATATTTTTTAAAAAGACAAGACTTCAGTTGATTTTATTTTTGTTCCATATTTGTATGTATACATGTTCCCTACCTAAGTTCGGTAAATTTAGTGTAGCCGTATGTGAGGCATCTAGCTGTGCAGTGGTGGTGGTTTCTCCAATCACGGGCAAGTGAGGTTCATTTAAAAGGAGTAGCTCACTACAAAAAATCTAGGCTTTTATAACAAACTGAAAGTGTCATGGAAAGTACAGAATTTGTCACAAAATGAATGCTATGACGAAAAACCACCATCATGAAGGTCGTCATATAACGACCGTCACAAAATGTACCTTGTGACGAAAATATAGAAAACCGTCACAAAATGTGATGACCTTTTGTGACGATTTTGTTGTGTCGTCATGTATCGTTGTCATATAATGACGACTATGACTGTCACATATTGGTTGGTCAACTCGTCACCTAATACGCCAATCATCATAAATTGTGTCCTGGGAACCTGATTTAGACAAGTTATTGTGACGAATGCGGGTCGTCATAAAATTACCTTCATTCGATGATGAATGTGGCATTGCCATATGTATTAATTCAATGACGAATGTCACACAGACGTTTCCAGCATTCTCATCATAGCTCATACATATCAGCCAAGCCATCATCCACATACATTCCAGACCATAAGACAAGACACAATTGCTTGCAGGTTCAAACATCACACTAGTACCAGGTTTCATCACACAAGTTCAAACATACAAATAGATGCAAATAAGTTGCACACAGTTTCCGACAACATAGTGCACAAAGTCATTCCAACAAACACAGAGAAAGTTTGGTGTTCTCACAATGTAGCAAAAGATTAGGCAAAGGCATCATCAACTGAAACATCGTGCAAACCTACCTCAATCTTTATAAAGTTTCAGCACAGCTCGCAGCAGTGCATTAGTCTCTTCAAACTTGGTATGCATCCCCCTCACTTCCTCTTGGGTCTGGTGCAACAAATTTTGGTTTTCTTCAAGTGTTGCTTGGTTTGCTTCAAGTGAGGCCTGTTGAGCAAGAATCTGTGCTTCCGACTATTCGTGCTTCCTAGCAGCTTCCTCTCTTTCTGCTTGGAGTGTTGCCTTAAACCGGTGATTTAGAATATCGAGTTATATATGTTTAATAGGAGGTGGGTTGAAGGGGCCTTGGTTCTAGTATTGGTTGGCCATAGGGGCTTGAAAGGACACGGAGGAGGCTAGGGAGAAGATGGCAGCGAGGCAGTGAGCACAACAAAGGAGCACCAAGGCTTTGGACATAATATGTCAGGTCAGTGCGCAGATGTGCTGATGGTGCAGTGGTTGAGCACCCTAGAGCTCCCCACCACGGTTCGATCCCTAGTGCTACATGGTAGTGTGCCCACCTCCCTGTTGAAACTGCAGACGGGTCCGCAGCCACCAAAGAAGCGTGCGCGCATGAGGTTCCTGCCTGTTCTGGGTTAGATGGGCCCCTTCTTTAAGACTGGAGTCAAGGGGACGTCTGATCAAGACTTTTTTTTGAGGGTGGCAGTGCTGTGGGGTGGCAGGAAGGTGAATGTATTATAAAAGGGGTGGCAGTGCTGTCGTATACAAGATCTAGCAGCCGGCACATATTATGTTAGATTCGATGGAAATATATTCATGTTTTGAATATATTTGCATAAATTATAAACTCCATGATGATTTCATCGATGATCCTGTTAATTTTTTAGGAATCAAGGATCGTATGTATATACCTGCTGTCCATATTGATCAACATGTTTATACTCTTGGAATTTAAGGATCCTTTTTAGTCATTGTGAAATACACTGTTTTTTCATATCCTCTCGCTATTAGAATTTTGTCTACATTGTTCATTTCATTTTGTGATATGAATTCTTTCCTATAATGATGTGATGTTCATGTTTTTTCTAGACAACTAACACTGCAGTTCATGTCCGGTTTTGTTTTTTTAGAAAGATCTATGGTTATGGTTTTCGATTTAACTTTGGCATTGCGCCCATATTTATTATTTTTTTCAGAACATATATTAATTACCCTGTATATATAATTAGTACCCAATTTTCTCCATCATGCACTCTTATACCTGATAATTTATACATGTTCATAGTTTCAGTGCAGCATGACCCAGAAGGTTGTCTTGGCCATCTGAAGCAGTACAAGTTTAAGGAGATCAGAAAAGCTACCAATAACTTCAGCCAAACAAATATTTTGGGAGAGGGAGGATATGGAATAGTATACAAGGGTGATTTGGATGGCACAACTGTTGCTGTTAAAAGACTGAAGGATCGTGATTCAGTTGTTGGGGATGATCAATTCCACACAGAAATTGAAGTGATAAGCTTGGCTGTCCATCGTAATCTCCTTCACCTTACTGGGTATTGCATTGCAAATAATGAAAGGCTTCTTGTGTATCCCTACATGCCAAATGGAACTGTCGCTTCTAAATTAAAAGGTTAGTATTGTGTGCTTCATGCTCTTCTATCCCATGCATGCACAGTTGCACCTTCATATTGAGAATCTCATGAGGGTAAAAATAAAGAAACATCAATTTTTCCCAGTAATCATGTGAAGGTTTCACCAATCCACTTTTACTTTGTAATTTAGGATATAGACTTGGTCTCAGGAAGAACTCTGACCAATATATATTGTTCTTAGAAACAACATTAATTAAATATGTATGTTACGGATGGTGATATTGTGAAACAATTTCCATATGAAAAGTATCTTATTAGTGGTAATCAATATACTCCGATCACTTTTCATTGGACTTTCTGATGGAGACATGCATATTTTCAGCTTGTTAATCATGTACAACTTCTCCATATAGGCATGATTCTAGTTTTTCCATCCAATGATGACACACCCTCTGCAGTTCAAGCAGTTTCAACCATCCTATTTGTCTATTCTTAAAGCTTCCATTGCATCCATTTTTGTGATATGGGCTCAGTCAATCTGATACATGGTTAACAATTGCTAAAACAACAAGTTGAACATAACATAATGTAGGCTCTCCTTTAAATTGTTTAGTCCAACGCATTGAAGGCATTATATTCTGAGGTCTTTCCCTTTTTGAAGCAAATCCAGCTGAGTTTTCTCCTTTACTTTGTCAGAATGTGTTAATGGGGAACCAACCTTAGACTGGCCAAGGAGAAAGAGGATAGCCCTTGGTGCGTCACAGGGACTGCTCTATTTGCATGAACAATGTGATCCTAAGATAATCCATCGTGATATCAAGGCCTCCAATGTTCTCCTGGATGAATATCTTGAAGCAGTTGTTGCAGATTTTGGATTGGCAAAACTTGTAGATCATTGGATGTCGCATGTTGTCACATCAGTGCGTGGAACACTTGGGCGCATACCACCAGAGTGTTTTAAGTTCTGCCACGCTTCAGAGAAGACTGATGTCTTTTGCTTTGGACTCTTTTTGATGGAATTAGTCACCGGTCGAGTGACGCTGGAGCTTCATGAGAATGAATATGAGAAGGGAGGAATTCTTGAATTGGTAAATACTGTTTCTTATATATGTCTAGGTTCAAATTTAGTTTATTTACTAGAGTAATTTTTAAAGAAAGAGTTGTTTTCCTTTAGGTCAATTGCATAGGAAAAGTTCAGTATGTTTATAGGCATACATAGTATTTGGGCACCCATGTTAAAGGCATTTGAAGATAAATGGTTAAAGATCATACAAATTAGATGATGTTGAAGAATTTAATTGGAAGGAAAATCAATAGGCATTTTAAGTTTTTTTCTCGGAAACGCAGGAGAGCTGCATTTCGTTGCATTAAGAAGAAAAGGCGTGAGAATCCTTATAGGATTTTTAAGTTACTCCCTCCATTACAAATTATAGTTCTTTTTGGTTTTGTCCTAAGTGAAACTTTCCTATCTTTGATCAAGTTTATAGAAAATATGTATCAATATCTAGAACACATCAAATTAGCTTTATTAAATTCTCCATGAAATAGGTTTTATTGAGCATATATTTATTTTAACTTGTAGAGATGTTAATATATTTTTCAAAAACTTAGTCCTAGTTAGAGAAGTTTAACTTTGACAAAGCCAAAGTGAACTATAATTTGGAATGGAAGGAATAAAATTGAAGCATCTGTATTTTGTGTTTTGTTCTACATACCTGATTGCCTCTTAATACTCCAGCTATTTGGTTGTACATACTTCCACTGACAAATTATAGCACCAAAGTCATATAACAAAATAACCAATTGAGTATGTCTTACATAATAATAGAAATGCAACTTTCAGCCTCTGCACTAATAAAGAAGATGTGAAGACATACATATCTGAGCTTTATGTAATCTGAATTTACATTTATTTGTACAGAATAGAAGATAATCATAAACTCCCTGGAGGGAAAATATGGTCTTTTAAAACTTAAGCTCCTTAAGCTATACTATAACTAAACATATGCGTTTCTAAACAGTGTCACCGTTTAACTTGACTTTAGACAATATGCAACTCCAGAAGACATAATTATAGTTTACCACAATAATGCATATAGCTTGCAATGCACTTTTCTCAAACATAGGTTTTGTAAATTCATTCTGGACCTTAGTCTGGAGCAGTAACCAGCAGCCATTGCCACATTTAATTTTCTGTCATTTTTTTCTTTCTAATAAGATTCGAGTGCAGGCCATGTCTATACTAATGTAACCATAATCTATTGCTCCCTGAAGTTTTGTATTCCACTTGAGTAGCAAGGCAATAACAGCTATGATCTATATCGAATTTGCGTGGCTGCGCCACTCCAAGAATTTCATTTTTTTCCAAAAGGACTTTGTTTTTGTCAATTGTGTTTCTTTTGTTCATTCATATACCATGAACTTCCCTTCCCACACAGTTGTGCCTTCATGTTTCAGGCCAAAGAACTTCTGGAACAAAGTAAGCTAAGCATGTTTGTGGACCGGAAGCTAGGAAGCAATTACGACAGTGCTGAATTGGAGGAGTTGGTTCAGATTGCTTTGCTGTGCACAATGTACAGGCCTTGCCACCGCCCCAAGATGTCTGAAATTGTAAAGATGCTAGAAGGAGGAGATGGTGGGGTTGCAGAAAAATGGGAGTCTGTTAAAAATATTGAGGACCCAAACCCCGACTGGTCACAAGAATTTGTGTCAATTGGTATAAATTATGATGATGAAAACCAGCGCAATTCGATCGAGCTGCAAGCCATTGAACTCTCGGGGCCAAGGTGATCTAGCTACAGCTTGTCATGTGTGTATATATATATGTAATAATCAATTTTAGACTACCAACTTGGGAAGGCGAAGAAAGCGTAGGGATGCTACAGACTTTCCGTTGAGTAGCATGGCATGTCTATAATGTCTGTTCATGCATATGGCTTTTCTTAAAAGACATGTTTACAGCAAGACCTCCTTGCTTGACAAAAGTTAGTGACATAAAGCAAAGAATTGAATATATATATATATATATATATATATATATATATATATATATATATAGATAAATAATTAACTAGCGGAATCTTCGGTTCTGCATCTAAGATTTTACTACTACTCTTTACTCTTTAGGACACAGGTGGAGAAACTCCATTACACCCATCCTTAGATCCTTTTTACATGCAGCTTATTATTAGTCACTATCGGAAACAGTATATATGCCGAGTGCATTGCTTCGGGCACTCGACAAACAATATCTTTACCGAGTGCCTACAGATAAACACTCGGCAAAATAATTGTACTCGGCAAAAAAACTTATTTGCCGAGTGCAGGAAATAAAACACTCGGCAAACAACAACAAGACACTCGGCAAAGAATAAGCACTCGGCAAAAGACCGCCACGTGTGACGGCCATCAACCAGGGTGCCGGCGGTTAGAACTTTGCTGAGTGTCGATTAGTG